TTCTGACTGCATAAAGATATCAGCATTTCTGCTTCAAGGTTTCGCCGTTTACCCTCGATCAGTACAATTTATTCATCCTTGCTCTCGTATTTTTAGTTTTCCTATCGATTGTTCCTCTCTCTCGCGCTTAGTTCAATGGCGCTGAAGGGTTGAGAATACGTATTGTGGGTGTGCGCAGATCGACGTCACGCTTCTCACAACTAAACGTCATGACAGAAAGTGTTTACGCAATCGTGAATGGAGAGCGTTTTGGCTCAATGTTTTTTGTTTATCTTCAATTAAATTCAGCTAGAGCTGTTTACACCGTTCATTAAGTGGATCTTCTGACGTCATATTGACGTAATTGGGAAATTGATGACGAGGCATTTCTAAAATTATCGGCAATTATTGGGTTATGAAGGAAAAGTCAAGAGAGATTTGTTGTTGGAAATTTTTTGAGCTAAAAAAAAATCTGTTGACATTTACTCAGAAAATGAATCGTTCTCGAGTTGTTTGCAATTAAATAATTGAGACTTTTGGTCTGAAAAATATTCGTCTGCCTTTTCAATTCAATTTTTAGTAAAGTATTGAATGTTGAATATCTCACAAGTGAAGAAACTTAAATAGGAGTCAGTGGAGTAGAACGAATCGTCTTTAAGGATGTTCAGCCATTTTCAGCTAATTTTTTCATGTTCCGGGAAAATTCTGTAATTTTTTTGGCTATCAGCCTTAAGGAATTATGGCAATTATTTTGAGATTTATTTTAGTGAATGTTAAATTAATGTTCCGAAGGCTGTTAACAATTGAATTGCCTTAAATAATGAAGAACAATGGGAGGAAGACTTGACAAATCATTTTGATTCCAAGTATTTCCGGAATAAAACCCCTAAAATCGCAATCGCCTTAAAAACGGCGAAACTTTCAAGCAGAAATGCTGAATATCTTTATGCAGTCAGAAAATCAAAAATTGCTATCAGCTCGTACGTGTCACGGACTTCGTTTGAGACACTGAGGGTAATTCGAAACAATGAAACGATAAACAATAAACAATGAACGACGAAAACAGGAATAAGAAAAATGAGGGAAACGAAGTTAGTTGGGAATTAAGGAATTGTGGCAATTGTGAGATTTACTTTTGTGAATGTTAAGTTAATGTTCCCAGGGCTTTTAACAATTCAATTGCCTTAAATAATGAAGAAGAATTGGAAGAAAAATCGGAAGAGTCAAACAAAATAGTCGGAGCACTTGATAAATTGTTTTGATTCCAAGTATTTCTTTAATAAAACCCTTAAAATCGCTATTCTTTCAGAAATATAATCAACGGATAGCAAACTAAATTCCAAGAATCAAGAAAAATCCGCACAACAATTCAGTAGCACAGTAGAAGGTAAAACTATTCAAGTCGACTTTGCTCTTAATTGAATTTTTGAGGAATACCTCGGAATCTAAGGGAGATGGCGAAATTTTTATAAGTCCCTTTTTTGTAAAGCGAATTGAGAGCTACAAAAAAGGTCATAATAAAAACTTTGCTATCTCCCTTAGATTCCGAAATAATCATTGAGAACTAGCTCGTAGTTGAGAATTAGCCCTCAACTGAGTTTTTGAGGAATATCTCCGAATCTAAGGGAAATAGCGAAATTTTGGTTATGACATGTTTTGTAGCTCTTAATTAGTTCTACAAAAAAGATTATAACAAAAATTTTGGTATCTGCCTTGGATTCCAAGATATTCATTGAAAACTGGCCAATAGTCAAAACTGACGTGAAATTTCAAACAGTGAACATGTCACAGCTCCTTCAGAATAATTACTCATATTAGTTTTAAAAAAAACAAGTATTTCAGACTCAACATTTTCGAACCTGTGAAAAAAAAAACAGACTAAAGAAAAAATTATTGGAATTTTCACGCGTGATAAAAATACTTTGGGAATCAATATTCTCCCCTCTAAAACAGTTTTAGAGATAATTGGAGTGAGAATAAATGTGGAACACGAAACGTTGTCAAACGTTGAACATGCGTAAGCTAATCGTTCACATCTAGCCGAATACATAACGAATAATACTGAGTGATTGTGGAGGGAAAGTCAATACATTTTTTATTGAGATTTTTGTCTAGCAATGAAATGATATGAAATTTTATGACATTTTACTTTGTTGGGAGTTTATTCAGTTCCAAATGGGGAAAAAGTCTCTCAAGTCCCCCTCAGCAAAATCAAAGCCCCTCAAAAAAATTAGAAATCCAACTTCAACTTCACCTAAACCCTCAAAAAAGATGGTTGATTAATGCACTTAGGATCATTAATCAAGTACTATTAATGAGTCTAAATCATCACCAAAGATCACCAAAATCCGTTGAGAATCACCCAGTCCCCACAATAAAAACGAAAACCTAGTAAAAAACTGGTAACCCAACTTCAATTCAACTTCACTCGGAAACCCTTAAAAAATTATCAATCATAAATATTTGATTGATAACCCCAAATCATCACCAAAGATCATCAAAAAAACTGTGGAGAATCCTCAAGTCTCTCCAAGATAAAAGAATACCCCTTAAAAAAATTGAACGCCCAACTTCAACTTCACTGAAAAACCTCTCAGAAAACCTTCCAAAGAAATAATCGACGAAAAATACTTGAATTATCTCATCAAATTATCACCAAAGATGATCAAAACCTTCAAGAATCCACAAACCGCCAAGAAAAAAGAAACCCCTCTAAAAAAATTATAAATCTAACTTCAACTTCACTCAAAGAACCCAAAAAAATCACCAATCATAAATACTTGATTGCTGACCTCAAAGATCATCAAACCCCTCAAGAATCCTCAAATCCCCCAAGAAAAAGAAAACGCTTCAAAAAAACTGAAAACCCCAACTTCAACTTCACCAAAACCCCTTCAAAAAAATCCCAATGCTGAAGATTTGATTGCTGATGCCAAACCATCACCAAAGACCATCAAACCCCTGAAGAATCCTCAAGCCCCTCAAGAAAAAAAATCCCCTTAAAAAACCGAAAACCCCAACTTCGAGTTCACCCAAAAAAAAGTGCACAGACCCCCCAAGATCATCAAACCCGTCAAGAATCCTCAAACTTCCAAAAAAAAGAAGACCTCTACAAAAAAACCGAAAACTCCAACTTCGACTTCACCCAAAAATCGCGCACAGACCCCCCAAAGATCAAACCCATCAAGAATCTTCAAACATTCAAAAAAAGAAGACCCCTACCAAAAACCCCAACTTCAACTTCACCCAAAAATCGCGTACAGATCCCCCAAAGATAAAACCCATCAAGAATCGTCAAACCTCCAAAAAAAGAAGACCCCTACAAAAAACCGAAAACTTCAACTTCACCCAAAAATCGCGTACAGATCCCCCAAAGATAAAACCCATCAAGAATCGTCAAACCTCCAAAAAAAGAAGACCCCTACAAAAAACCGAAAACTTCAACTTCACCCAAAAAAAGTGCACAGACCCCCCAAGATCATCAAACCCGTCAAGAATCCTCAAACTTCCAAAAAAAAGAAGACCTCTACAAAAAAACCGAAAACTCCAACTTCGACTTCACCCAAAAATCGCGCACAGACCCCCCAAAGATCAAACCCATCAAGAATCTTCAAACATTCAAAAAAAGAAGACCCCTACCAAAAACCCCAACTTCAACTTCACCCAAAAATCGCGTACAGATCCCCCAAAGATAAAACCCATCAAGAATCGTCAAACCTCCAAAAAAAGAAGACCCCTACAAAAAACCGAAAACTTCAACTTCACCCAAAAAAATTGCACAGACCCCCCAAGATCATCAAACCCGTCAAGAATCCTCAAATTTCCAAAAAAAAGAAGACCTCTACAAAAAAACCGAAAACTCCAACTTCGACTTCACCCAAAAATCGCGCACAGACCCCCCAAAGATCAAACTCATCAAGAATCTTCAAACCTCCAAAAAAAAGAAGACCCCTACAAAGAACCGAAAACCCCAACTTCAACTTCACCCAAAAATCACGCACAGACCCCCCAAAGATAAAATCCATCAAGAATCCTCAAACCTCCAAAAAAAAGAAGACCCCTACAAAAAACCTAAAACTTCAACTTCAACTTCACCCAAAAATCACGTACAGACCCCCCAAAGATAAAACCCATCAAGAATCCTCAAACCTCCAAAAAAAAGAAGACCCCTACAAAAAACCTAAAACTTCAACTTCAACTTCACCCAAAAATCACGTACAGACCCCCCAAAGATAAAACCCATCAAGAATCCTCAAACCTCCAAAAAAAAAGAAGACCCCTACAAAAAACCGAAAACTTCAACTTCAACTTCACCCAAAAAGAGTGCACAGGCCCCCCAAGATCATCAAACCCGTCAAGAATCCTCAAACTTCAAAAAAAAAGAAGACCCCTACAAAAAACCGAAAACCCCAACTTCGACTTCACCCAAAAATCGCGCACAGATCCCCCAAAGATCAAACTCATCAAGAATCTTCAAACCTCCAAAAAAAAGAAGACCCCTACAAAAAACCTAAAACTTCAACTTCAACTTCACCCAAAAATCACGTACAGACCCCCCAAAGATAAAACCCATCAAGAATCCTCAAACCTCCAAAAAAAAGAAGACCCCTACAAAAAACCTAAAACTTCAACTTCAACTTCACCCAAAAATCACGTACAGACCCCCCAAAGATAAAACCCATCAAGAATCCTCAAACCTCCAAAAAAAAGAAGACCCCTACAAAAAACCTAAAACTTCAACTTCAACTTCACCCAAAAATCACGTACAGACCCCCCAAAGATAAAACCCATCAAGAATCCTCAAACCTCCAAAAAAAAGAAGACCCCTACAAAAAACCGAAAACTTCAACTTCACCCAAAAAAAGTGCACAGGCCCCCCAAGATCATCAAACCCGTCAAGAATCCTCAAACTTCCAAAAAATGAAGACCCCTACAAAGAACCGAAAACCCCAACTTCAACTTCACCCAAAAATCGGGCACAGACCCCCAATCCCCCAAAAAAATTATGACCCCATAAATACCTGGTTATTAAGTGGATGTAAAGCAACTTCTTCATCATACTCCTGAAGATATCCAACACTTGAAGTTGACGAGGTGGAAGAGACTGGCGTATTGGAACTCAGACACTGTGGATCAGTCTCTCCCATGCCCCAAGAGCCCCTCAGGTATACCATGCCCAGTGTCCACCAATTAATCCCCAATTGCCCTCAAAATCAGCACCTCCAGCCCTTCAAACCCCCCCCCAGAAAAAAAATGAAAAAAAAAGAATGAAAACCGTGGAAGCTTTGTTCTCACTCGCCTGCACCGAGTGAAAGTCCCCAAATAATTCTCGTCACAGCACAGCACAAGCACAGGCACAATTACACCATGAACTCGCGATAATTAAACGGTCTCCAAGGGGCAAAAAAAATCAATGGAAATGGGTGAATATCAATGGTCACCATTCACTGGTGACGTTTTCGTTGTTTCACCACGTTAATACTGTACTTCACTGACAATACTGAGCATAATACGATGGGGAAGTATTCGCTGGGACACTGCAACGTGTATGTATGGGTTATCGCATCAGCTGAGAGATGGCGGGGAGGGAGTGGAGTGGGTTTTTTTCATGCGAGACTTGTGTTTGTGTGAGAGGTTTGTTTGATTTGGCGGAAGAAAGGGAGACGGCGGTGTAGTGAGGGTAGAGCTTGGCCTCCAACTGTGTATGGATTGGCGTTACGTCGGCGGGGAGGGGAGGCACTTGCTCTGTGTGAGGTGGGTAAGGTGGATTGGTGGAGGTGGCAATGTGATTGGCTGGAGGGGGGATGTCTCTGCACGCGTGTTGGCAAGTTCGAGAAACGTCGATCGCGCTGACAAGTTCCAAGGGTGGACGAGAGAGGCGCTGGTGCGGGGGTAAAGAAGGAATCGAGCTTGCGGGGGAGCTTGAAGCTTAGGCTCGGAAGTGATTGAGTTGAGTCAATTTTGAGAGTTTAAGATTTCAACTTGAGCCACTTGATTTTTTCCAAACCTGTACAATGTTAAATGGGGTGACGTCACGATCTGGTGACACTGCGTCCGGAAAGGCATAATTGAGACTTTCAAAGTCTCATGGTGAGACTCCTGAGGTCTCGATTTGAGACTTTAATAGACTCAAGTTGATAGTTTTGAATGACTCAAGTTAAGGTGTTTTGTATATGACCACTGGTGGGGAGGGGGTGAAACGGAAGGGGAGTTTTACTGTTCTCGAGCCCTGATTCAATCGCTGAGCACGACATTTTTCAATGAATGAATTGAATTTTTTGAATTTTTTTTCATCATTTTGACTTTTTACACGCAACACCTTAAGTCATTTAGAATTTTTCTGGAAATCCATAGGGATTATTGGGTGGTGTTGTCTTCGGACCTACCTTAACTGTATGATGAGTAGTGGGGTTGGGAATCCCAGAGCTTGAATGGAGCTTCCATGCTTCGGTGCTAGAGGTAAAGGCGGCGCTAGAACACTAAAGCCTGAAGCTGTCGGTTCAAAAATGATTATCTAGTTTGTTATTTCTAAAGTTAAAAAGTTAACTGTTGCGGTTTTGGAGAAATTATTAGTCCAGGTATTTTGGGAAATAGTCTAGGCAAAATTTTTCAAGCTTCACCTCGATATCTTTTTAGATTTCGAAGCAGATATGGTAAATGCAGAATGCATTTTTATCGGCGGATTATACAGTAACTCGGAAGAGACCTTTCAATCGTGTCAATCTGTCAAAATTGCCCCGACTTTTCGCGATTTTTAGTGAAAAAGTGGAAACTTGAGGGATTTTCGAGTTTTTGAAATGGCAGACTCCAAATATGCGGATCTTCCCGGGATTGTAAGTTGATATTTTGTTTACTTTCGAGAATCTATTGAGCTCAGGGGGAAGTTTTGGGGTTAGCCAACTCCTCACTGTGGACTACTCATTCCCAATTAATTCCTAATTGATTAAAATGTGTTGTTCCAGGTCTACAATCAAGTAGACGTCTACGAGACCACGGAGTTACCCGAGAGCGAGCAGTTCCCTGCGTACAGCGAGGTAAGACATTGGGGGATCATGACTCATGAGATGAGGAAAATCGATCGAGTGATTTCTTCTGGACACTTTTGTGTTTGGCACAAAAAAAACCCTTTTTTGATAATTTTCAAAAAAATATTTTCTTGGCACAAGTAAGACTTGTTTGAGACCTTTGTCATTTTCTCTCAGTGTAGATTTTCAGACACTTTTCTCCCAGGTTAAAATTCTAAGCCTTAATTTATTGCATTCTCATAAATTATTGAGTTTTTCTATCCTCATATGTTGTTGATAAAGGCTCCAATGCCTATTTAAATCAAATAAGAAATCATTTGATAATTAATTGTTTGAATCAAATATAATTCATCCAAATTGTAACATTTGGTCGGAAAATATCAACAATCAAGATATTCATCCTCTTCTACTTTTTGTTCCAATTGATTCGCTTTTTTTGTTTTTTTTCTAACAGGATGAGTCTGAGGCAATTGAAAAACTCCACGTCAATGCGACTGAGGCCTTTGGAAAATTCAAGGGAAAACATGTCGTCACTACTGGAGTCGATTTCTCTGACAGAATTTCTAGGAGAAATAGAACTGGGTAACTATCAATTATATATTTTCTCACTTTTCTCGAATGTTTCGGTGATTGCTCAAAGTACACAAACGTCATACTTTAAGAAATTAAGGATAATTCCTCACTCTATTATCAATATTTCCATTCTCATGTTTCTTTTTTAGTTAAAATTCTGTGAGATCATCTCGATGAGGAGTTGCTTTGATGAAATTATCCAGACATTATTTATTGAAAATTTATTCATCGACAAAAAATGTCTTGAGATTTCCTCTTTAAATCTAATATTTTTGAGATGATTTCCCAAATAACAAAATTTTATAATTGAGCTAAACCGTAAGCTGAATTTTATACTTTCCTTAATTATTTATTGTAAATCCGTAAATATTAATCCGATAAAAATTTTCATCTCCGATTTTTATTCTTTGCAATTTTTTAAATGTATTCTATCAAAATGTGAGGGTAGAAATTGAATTGATGGGTATTCTTTCATTATTTGAAAAAATATATCAATTTTAAAACTTTCCGGGGACATTGAAAAATCGAAATTTTTATTTTCTTGCTGATCACGTATCTCTGTTCTTTTTTTCACTTTCTTCCATTGAAATTAGATCATAGAAAGGAAACATATTGATATTTTTTCATTTAAAAAAAAATCAGTTTTCAAATTTTTCAGAAAAATAAAAAATCGTTTTCTTTTATTTTCTTGCTGATCATCTCTCCCTGCGTTTTTCTCAATAAAATCAGATTATGAAAACGAAAAATTTCATTTTTATGATCTGATTTTATTGAGAGGAATTATTATATTATACTGATATTATTTAACATAAATATCTCTTCATTTGAAAATGAGAAAAACTTTTCCTACAATTTGTATACTACAATGGGAATAGAATCCAATAAATTTAATTTAATCTAACCGCATAGAAAAATTGGAAAGAAAACAATAAAATGAATTAATATAACATAAAATAATCTAGCGGCGGGCGCGAAGCGCAGATCGCTAGTAAATTATTGATTGATAAAATAGTTAAAAATTTGAATATTTGAATTGATGATATTTAATTACTCAAAAAATTACAAGGTTCATGTTTGTCAATTTAAGGGCTCCAAAAGTAATCGTCATAAAATATTACAAATTTGGCTATCCCTGATGTAGACTGTAGTTTGATCCGGTAATGGGCCTTGTGCTGTTGGGTCTTTACGAAATAAAATGAAATGAAATGAAATTATTGATTCATGCGGGGAATGAGTCGAGACACAAAACTTCCAACAAAAAATCTTGCTGTAATGATTGAGTGTTTAACTCTAATGATTGAGCGTTTAAAAATTAACTCCCCAAATTTTACTATTTCCTTGTTGAATTAACACTTACGCATTTTCATTTATTAGTTTTGGGGTGTGGGAGCTGCCAGGGGACGATGAGAAAGAGACACCAATGCAGAAGTACGAGAGACTGCAGTGTGAGATCAAAGAATTGTACGATGAACTCAGCCAAATCAAGGTAGAAAAAAAATTCAACTTCAGCCCCAAGTGCAAATTATCCCCAGAAATATTAGATGTGGTAATTAATTTTCACTGCCCAATCTATTGCTAGGAAATATGTCAAGAATTTGTAGACAACTCAAATTCATTTTTATTCAAGAGCAATCGCTTTTTCCCCTAGAACATCCATCAAAAATAATTACCACGTCTAATAATTGAACGAACTTTTTTTTGAATTTCTCTGAATGTTCTAATGGACATATCCGTTATTTCAGGAGAAAGCACAGCAGGAGGAGGAGTCCAGGAATGCAGCTGACATTCTATCCCACGTGGAGGAAGCTGGAAAACAGCTGAACAGCTTGAAATTGTACGACTGCCTTGGGACTGATCTCGTGACGACTCTCATGGATCCTCAGGGCATGAGACTAAAGTAATGTTTTCGTTTAGTTAGCAATTAATGGCGTTTGATGGTGCAGTAAAAATCGTCATGACAAAAATTTTCTCATCTCCCTCAAATTTCGAGATATTCATTGAAAACTGGTCAATAATCAGAGTCGACTATTGCATTATAATTGAATGTCCAAACTAAACACGTGTTATAACTTGATAACTAAATTTTAATTACGAATAATATAGAAAATTGGATTATTTAATTCTTCCAGGCAATTGGAAACGCAAATAGAGCAGTTTAAATCAGCTGGCATCCCTGAAAAGGAAAGAAAAGGCGATTCAAACGAAGCTGATGGCACAAAGGGATTTTTAAAGTACGAAATGATGTACCTACCTGAAAAAGCGAGAATGCAGGAAGTGGCGAGAATTTCTAATCTAGAGCAACGATTGGCGAAATTGGAGTCTGTTATCGGGACCAGCGATGATAAACTTTCGAAATTCACCCAGGTAACTTTAACTCTTCATTTTTGGTGACTTTGGGTCAATACAACTCATCGCAACTTTTAATTATTTAGGGGAGAGCAAAATGAAACAGCCGAAAAACGACTATTTGACGCAATTCAAGCAAAAAAACATTTTTTATCAACTTTTGTTTATCAAGTTTTTATTATTGGAAGTACTGATGAGAATAATAATTTTCTATTCGGTAGGAAAGAACATGCGGTGCGAAAAAATCACTGATATTCGAAAGCCCGATATAGCGTATCGACTACCTCCACAGATAAATCCCACTCCCCTGTTAGATCTCGATCTCAACGTCCACTAGTCAGCTTGTCCCCTGACTCTCCAGCAGCCAAACTAAGACCTCGTCATCGCTGAGTCTACGTTCTCTCCTCATTCGAAACTCCCGAAGGTTTTTCATATATTTTTTATATCGAGACGACAATATTAATCATTTTCTCTAATTTCATCCACAGTTCTCTTTTCAAGTAATATTAAATATTTCATCTGTAATTCAATTGATTAGATTAGGGCGATTACACTTCTCTTTTTTCATTCGATTGAAATTCAGCATCACCTTTTCCTTTTTCCCCCTCTGGCTCTCCCCCTGGGCCTTCCACTGAACTCTGGATTTTGCTGCTTCATTTTCTTTTCAATCAATCCATTGACAAAATCTTCTCCTGTCAAAATTTCTCAATAATTTTCCATTCTACTGAATGGAAAATTATTATTCTCATCAGTACTCCCAATAATAAAAAAAAGTTAATCAATGAAAGTTGATAAAAAAAATTGTTTTTTGCTTGAATTGCGTCAAACACTTGTTTCTCCATTTTTGCCACACTCTCACCCAATTATCTCGATAATTAACAAGTTCAGCAGAAAATGTAAAGAGCTCCTCTTTACGGGAACTTGTCAGGACCAAAAAAATAATTACGTTATGAATAAAAATCAATTAGTGATCATAATTTCTACGTTTTCCAGAATTTGAAGTCTCAAGGGATTGTGGAGTCAGTTCAGAAGTTGTCAGCAAAGTCGTCACTCCTGGACAGCAGTCAGATTGAAGCTATGGAGAGCAGGATAGCGACACTTGCTCACAGAATGGACGCAGTGGCACAGAAGAAGTCAGCACTCCCTCCAGAGACCGATCGAGACCAGAAGATCAGTGAGATGTACGAGATCGTCAAGAAGACTGAAGCTATCTCCCAGATTATCCCACAGACCGTGGACAGGATGATTGCACTCAATGCTGTGCATCGCAGAGGTAATTTTTCAAATATCACCTGTTCGTTAATTCATGAGTCAGACGTTTACTCTTCGTTCGGGGAGAATTAATTTTTACAGATTAATTTGTGAATATCTCTGACACTAGGAAATTTAATTGTCAAAATGTTTTGCTAATTGACTAATCGATTTGGATTTGTCTGATTGCCATCTGATTGGATTTGTCAATTACCCAATTTATTCCTGAGTTGAGAATATTTTTAAAAAATGTGAAGAAGTGTCCATTTTCCCGAATTCGTCTCAAATAATTATCGAAATAATTAAATAATGGAAAATTAATTAAGACTTATCTCTTTTAATTCTTTTCTCCAGAAAATTTAATTTTCTAAAACAAATTTGTCGAGATATTTGATCAAATTAGCAAGACAATTTGAATTCATACACTCGTCGAGATAATCACTGAGTTTAAGATTAAATGTCGAAACATTTTTCATTTAGTGATTTAATTCTCCACAAAAAATGTCTCATATCCTCCTCTGAACGAACTAGTATAACTTATCGAAATATTTAATTCAAGTAATACTTTTCGCCATGACTGTTCCGTTCAATTTTATGTATTAATATTTTCATTCAAACTTTATGCGCCGTTGGGTCTGGATGAAAAAATTGAATGAAATTTCTGTGTTTCAGCTGGAGAATTCAGTCAGTCTCTCGCCCAACTCGAGGAGCTCCAGACGCAAATATCAAACAGTCTTGAGAGCAACAAATCAGTCCTCAAAGGAGTTCAGGAGAGTTTTGCCACGAATCTCCAAGTGATTCAAAAGAACATCGTAGCTCTCGAGGAACGTGTCAGTAATCTAAAGAAGTGATTCTACTCTCTCCTAAGTCACCGATTGCGCACTAATTATTTTCATTACTTTCACTTCACGATAAAATCGCTTCGATTATTTGGAAATAAAATGAAGAATGAGAAAAAAAACGTATTTATCACATTACTCGACAGCACAGTGTAAATAAATGTTGAAAATTGTCATGATTTTGAATTTTTTCATGTTTAGTTCGACGAATCACTCAATTCTTTTTGTACTAATAAATTGATTATTTGAATGTTGAATTGAAATTTAAATTAAAGGGAAGGGGAGAGTTGTGAGATGGATATTTAATAAAGATGAATGATACTCAATTTTTCGTGTTTTAATTAGCTTTTTTTATTTAAAATCAATTAGAAACGGAGCTTCTGGAAGAACCACTTGTTCTTGCCCATTTTGTACCTGTGGAAATGAAAAATAAAATCACAAATTAGTTGACTGAATAATTAAATAATTTTTAAATGTCAAATGAAATGATTCTGTACTTTTTTCGTCTGGCATTTCAATCTAATTTTGGATTTCTTGAAAAATTTGATCGAGAATATGTTTTTCAATTCGCAAGACTAAAGATTGATCGGAATTCTTTACAGTATTGAATTTTAGGCCCAGGAAAATTGAACATAATTACTTTGCGAAGATATGATGAATGGAATTGATTGAATCAATTTTTTTGAGTAATTACCTCTCTTCGAATTTAACTCGAGTTTGGAATCGAACCTTCTTCCTCTTCATGGGGTCTTTCAGGTCTTTGGGGGCTACCTTATTGTCCAAAGGCAAGTCCACGGTGTATCTCGTGGGCATCAAGTGATTGTAGTTGAGAATCTGAAACAAAATTACAACATTTTTCGTTATTATTTGGACGACTTTATAAAGATGAAAATGTGCAGGTTCTGGTAATTGGATAATTATCTAGAAATTGAGTGGGTTTAGAAAAAAATGTCTAGAGATTGTTTTAATAATATTGTATTAATAATTTAGTAGTGAAGCGCTGAACTGTACAAGTCGATTTTGACTATTGGTCAGTTTTTAATAAATGTCTCGGAATCTAAGGCGGGTAGCAAAATTTTTGTTATAACCTTTTTTGTAGAGCGAATTGAGATCTACAAAAATGGTAATCACGACAATTTCGCTATCTCCCTTAGATTCGGAGATATTCCTCGAAAAGTCAGCTGTGAGCTAAGTCGACTTGAATTGTTTTACCGCTTCGCTGCTAAGTTAATTATTCAGAAATTACTCATTATTAATTGAATAATTAACAAAGATTGCACCTGTTGTTTTGTTTCAAAATGGAATCTTCATTAATTTTATTCAAAATTTACTAATTATTCGAAATTAAAATTTAAGTTATGTAATTTATAAGGATTTTATAAGTCTGTCACAATTGAAAAATTATCTCGACAACAATCGAATTCTCCACAAATGAAGACCCCTGAAACCCATCAGTACTGAGATAATTCAACAATTACAAAATGCAAACTCGACTTTTTTTTCAAATGTTAATGAAATGGAATATTTTTTTCTCCTAGAGATTATACTTCTCCCTTTGTAATGAGCACAGACAGGGCTCAATTACCCAATTTATTCCTGAATTGAGAATATTTTTAAAAAATATGAAGTGTCCATTTTCCCGAATTCGTCTCAAATAATTATCGAAATAATTAAACAATGGAAGATTAATTAAGAAATATCTCTTTTAATTCTTTTCTCCAATAACCCATTACTGACATCATTGCACCTGACTAAATTGATAAAACATCAAAATTTTACTGACAATTATAAAATTTACAGAATGCCAGAAGACAATTTTTTGCCATTTCTCACAAAAAACCTCGCATTCTTTTCATAAAACTATCAATTTTTCAATAATTGTACAATAACAAAAATAGCATTCTACCAGTGGTAAATTATGAAAATATTTAAATAATGAAATTTGTGTAGATAGTTAATCGTGAGGAAGAATTTTATTCCCGAGTTGAGAATAATTTTGAAAAATGTCCTAGTGTTTATTTTGCCCCAACAGAAAGAGTGGGGTAAAACAGATTCTTTTGACTTTTTGAAACGTTAAGACGGGTTGAATTGTTGATGAAATGATATAAGTTTTTTTTCAATGAAAAGAACAATTCTTCCTTTTTAAAATGAAGCTAAACTAAGCTCAATTGCAAAATTTACTTATTATAAATTGAGCATATTTTTGAATAAGTCAAAAATGTCCATTTTACCCCACCCTCTCCTAGTCCATCTTCGTCTCAAATAATTACGAAAATGGAATAAATGGAGAATTAAAAGATACAACTCACCCTAACAAAAGGCTTTATCTTGGACCTCTTGTGGATCTTGGCTTTCCCCATGCGTTTGTGAACCTTTCGTGGGTAACGATCGATTCCAGCTACAAGTGCATGCCCGTACTGTCTCTCCGTGGTACCATCATCGTAATTTCTAATGACAATGGCTTTGCGTCCTGCGTACCGGCCACTGAGGACCAGCACGACTTTACCTGATTTCATAATCTTCACCATCTTGGCGAACTGTAAACACAAGTGACAATTAGCCCCTTCAATTATTCAAATTTCCGCAAATTAATTGCAAACATCCAACAATAACTAAAAAGAATAATTTTTTAGTCCACAAAAATCACTAAGAAACTGAATAAAATCGTTCAATTGTTATGAAAAAATTGATCAACTGTAATCAACATTTTTGGAGCTTGACATAACCTAAAATTGTCAAAACTGGAATAACAATAGAAATCGTGATTTTTCACTCGATTTCCGAATTTCTGAACGAGAAAAATTGTTGTGGACATCAGAAATGCCCGAGAACTGGAATGTTTATTATTATCAATTGATTAATTGATTGTGGGGAACACTGGGGGCTGAGACGTGTGACGGATCAACTTTGTCTCTAGATTTTTTATCAATTTTTCACATAAATCCAGGAAATACTGTTGCTAAATAATAAAAGAGACATTGGAGAATGAGTATTAGGGGTTTTTCGGCTGTAATAATCGCGTAATTGTTGGATGTTTGTTGATTACTTTCGGTCACTCGTGAATTAACGCACCTCACGGCTATACAAACCGGAAAAAAGAGTCTAACCTTACTTTTTCTCGTGCACGTATCTTTCGAGGATAGTTCGAGGTTTCGCGGCAAGATGCCGGGGGAGAGACACTTCCGGTTTCTTGAAAACCCGCGGAAACTTGAAAATGATGAACAATTCGTAATTATGATTTGATAACGAAAAAAAATTTTTTTTTGGGAAATCCTAGGGCGGCGAAATAATTTTAGACATTTTAGATTAACAATTGGTATCAATTATTCGTTATTTGTGGGAAATCATGACTGGAATGGTTTAACAGTCAACAATGCAGATTTTTGGAGAAAAATAAACATTTGTAGTCGATAAATTAATCGATTCTGTTGTGAAGCCATGAATTCAAAATTTTTTAATCATTTAAATGTTTGAATTGCGTGGGAATAATTTGAATAAAATCATGAATAATTAGCGAGATTTTAATTGAATTTCATAATGTATTTTTTTCTAAACATTTCCCTTTTGGGAATGAATAATTGCTGAAAGGGAAATTCTTAATACGAATTAAAAATGTATTTTTCACCAATTATTTACGAACAAGATGGTTTGGGTATCAATTTTCTACTCGGATTCTGTAATGCAAAACAACACAAAATTCAGCGAAAAAAACTTTGAAAATTTGAGCCGAATAATTCTAATAGGAAAAGTCTCAAGAGAAAACTTCGAACAGAAATTAAAAATATATTGACTTTTTCCTAACAAATACGCAATAGAATCAGCGCAGAAAATAAGTCGAATTTTTCAATAGAGTTCCAATAGAAATCCTCTAGAAACCCCATAGAATTCCAATAGAATTTTCTAGCGAATACGCTAGCTTTTCTATTGTTTTTTTTCAAAAAACTATAAATAATTAGTCAAAAACACAATGAGATTTCGAATCATAATTTTTTTCGACATTCAAGTGCGAGTTAAAAACCATAATTTATCCCAGCATCTTAATGTGAAAATCGCCAATAAAACATTAAAATCCGATTTGTCTACCTGAATTGTAAAAAATAATCATTTAAAAAATTATTGCTCGTTTAATCATGACTAAAAAACTGTATGAAATATCCCTACTATTCATCATCTGTGATATTTATTTTGAGATTGTGAGTATTCACTCAATTTTTGTATTAAATTTATGTTTCTCAATCCCTCAAAAATAATTCACATCGCCAAACCCCTCGAAATGAAAGCCAAACATTGACATGAATATCCAGTGTATTCAATTCCCCTCTGGCAACAAGTGTTTTCGTCCTCCTCATCATTATCTACAAATCGATAACAGCAGTGCTCACCAAGGATACCTCAGTGCCACGACCTCCCCAGTCTCTCATTTGCCATAAAATCCGCTACACCGTGAATTCATGAGAATAAAACAATCATTCGCCACACCCTGGCTCACATTAAGCCCAATCATGCGCATTTGCCAATGAATGGAATTGTTGGATTTTACCTCACCTCGTGAAAATCACGGGACTGCTGAATTCGCTAGTCGCTATTCAGATATTAATTAAAGTAGAATGAATAAACTCCTGTTGAGCCGTTGGGTGTAACAAGGAAAAATAAATTCGAAAAGCCAAAGAAAAAAAATTATTGATCATTGATTATGTTTTCCATGAATTTTAACTTTGATGAGTGAGAAATTGATCCATCAAATTCTTTCTTCAATTATTTTTTTAAATAATAGTATCTCGTTTGACTGGGCTACTTCGACTATGTATTAGTAAATTCTTTATTAGAAAGTCAGACACTGATAGTAATTTTCATATTGGGTACTAAAGTCAAATTTTACGCCCGCTCTGCGTGCGGAAAAACCCATTTTCCACAGATTGTGATGAAATAGTATATTATTTATTAATTTTTTTTATTTAAAGCATTCAAACCATCACGGCTTATTCTGCAAAATAGTATATTATGATACGAGTGAAAAAACCGCACTTTTTTGCATGCTTCGCGCACAAAGAGCCGTTTTGTTCTCACTAGTGTCATAATAGTTATTTTCATCACAAGGTCCATAACGTATTTTCTGACGAATGTGATTATACAAAGCCACATTCGTCAGAAAATACTTTTTCTGTACTGCTTCTCACGATTTCTCGTCTGGGAATTGGTATTACATACTTCCCAAACTCGAAAACTTGAAAATCACTACAGAAAAATATTGTTCCTGGGCTGTTGCGATGGGGTTTTTTTACTCGCGGGATTGGCCAGGCCTTCGACTCGGCCGCCAACTCCACGGGAGTAAAAAACCCCATGGCCCTCGCCGTGGAATACACTATTTTTATTTCGAAATATCATGAAGAACAGTAAAATAGATAAACAAATACAGAAAGAACTGAAATTGATTAATTTTTTATCATTTATCGACATAAAAAAAAACCTAACTAATATTTTTTATCACATTTTCATATTCTGGAGTAAAAATTCGCTATTGAAAATTATCCAACTTCACGTTTTTCAAGTGACGTTTGATTGAAGAAAGTCAATGGATTGATTTTTTCATGAAACTGCTCCTACATGAATGAATAAATAGCTGAGGTCATTAGGTTAAGGTATTGTGGAAAGCGGAAGTTCTTTGCATCCCTTAGGGGAACCAAATAAACAATCCATAAATATATAATTGCATCGATGGTCGATGTGTAGGGCTGATCGATCCGGTAGCGAGCAATTACAGTAGTATAAACATAACATGAATTTTGGAGATTAAAATCTGAAATAGATTTCTAAAAGAAAATGGTTGGCTGCAAAAATAACATAAACTTATGAGAAAATTAACTATTCGAAGTCAGGGAGACTTAATAGTTTGAGACTTTTCCCACGAGTATCGAACGATATTTTTCATCACAATGTGTGGAAAAGGGACGTTTTTGGCACGCGAAGCGCCAAATTAAGGGTCGCAAGGGTCAAAATAAGGGTTACGAGGGTTAAAATAATAGTTATGAGGGTCAGAATAAGGGGCACGAGGGTTAGAATAAGGGTTATGAGGATCACGAGGGTCAGAATAAGGGTCACGAGGGTGAGATTAACGGTCAAGAGGGGTCGATTAGAGGTCACAGGGTCATCTTAAGGGTCATATGGCTCAGATTAAGGATCACGAGGGGTATAATGAGGGTCACGAGGGTCAGATTAGGGGTCACAAGCGTTAGAAATCTTATGCTCGAAATTAAAATCTACAATTAAGGGTCACGAGGGTCAAAATAATGGTCATGAGGGTCAGAATAAGGATCATGAGGGTCAGATGAAGAGTCATAAGGGTAAGATTAACGGTGATAAGGGTCATGAGGGTCAGATTAAGGGTTACAGGGGTCAGAATATGGATTATAAGGCTCATATGTGGGTCATATGGGGGTTGGCGAGCGGAGCGAGTAGGGGGCCTAGGCCCCTAGTATTTGATAATATTCAACTGTAATTTTCTATCAAGTAAATAATACCAAATCTCGCAAAAGAAATTTTCGATTAACCGAATCAGTAACGAAGCGGTAAAACGGTCCAAGTCGACTTAGCTCTCTACTGATTTTTCGAGGAATATCTCCGAATCTAAGGGAGATAGCGAAATTTTCATAGATAGCTTTTTCATAGATCTCAATTCGCTCTACAAACAAGGTTATAACGAAAATTTTACTATTTGCCTTACATTCCGAGATATTCATTGGAAACTGACCAAAAGCTAAAATCGACTTAAACCGTTTTACCACTTCGCTACTGAAATAATCGTCAATCTTCCTAATTCAATTATTAATGGATAAACTAATTCGGAATTGAATATTTAAATTGATGATCACTCCAATAATTGAAAATTTAAGTGACATGAACAATTAACTACTTGATAATTTAACGATAATTATAATTTATGGATATGGCTATCTCGGCTATCTCTGGGGCTGATATAGCCCAAAAAATCCAAAGCTTTAAATTGGAACTATTCGCCACCTACTCCCCACAATATGCAATCCTCTTCTGAATAATATTCCCCTGAACGGAAAAGCCGGCTCGTGTAAAGGGCAAAGCGTGGGCGGTTCGCCCTCGCCTTGCCCAGTATCGCTCACCCAAAAATCGATTCTCCGTCAAATACTCCCACTACTGTTACCCCCACCATCGCGTCGCACATCAGTCGTGGGTATCACCGCGTCGAGTGAGGATCGCCGGGGGGTTGAAACACTACTTCCTCCTCTCTAGAATGTAACCAAAACAGAAAAAAGTATTTTCAAAACTACGAATAGCGTGAAATTTTCCGTTATCGATAGTCCCTCCGTATTTTTAAAAAAGTGAGAACAAGTGTCTAGACCTTGAGATTATGCGTCACTGAATCTGAAAGGTAAATACATTTTTTTTACCAAAAAATTATGTCCAATTGAAAAAAATACACGATCAAAAATTGAGGATGAAATTATTTTTGTATTTTTCATTTGTTGATTTATTTATTTATTTATTTATTTGTAAATTGCGCTGAGGCGTGGTTGAACCGCGAGATGTTATTGTAACGTCGTAGCCCGTAAGTATGCGAATGCCCGGGGGTGTGAAACGTGACTACAACCTGATGCTTCCACCGGTGTCCGAAAAATCTTCCCTCATCTGTAATAATTAATTACCCTGCGCCTAGCAATATCAGCGGGTTTACGAGGTTCAACAGCAGGTGCCGATAATGAGTGATAACGTCTAGCGAATTTATTGATTTTTTAGAGCTCCCGATGCGATGAAGATGAATTGAGGAGTGAACAGGAGTGGCGGAGGACAGACACTTTTAGATAAGCCGGATTGATTGAGTATTATGCAAATATCGGTGGCGAGGGGGCACACTGAGAAAAAAATATATTTTTGCCAAATATTCGTTTACTTGAGAGAAGTATTTATTTTTTCAAAATCGTATTTCTCCAATCGAGTCATTCCCAGGTGTGAGCCCGACTAAGTTTCAATTACAACAGTCATGTTGCTCTAGAGGATGACTGTGTTGCACATGACCTTGGATGGACTCTTCTAATGATTATTCATAGTTCCAGAATTTTTCATTTTCTACAGGCCAGAATTTCGATCAATTTTTTAATCTTGATAATTATTGAAGAAGTTCTCTCAAGGTCATAACTAACATGATCGTATTCTAGAGCAATATAATTGACATGATTGAAACCTAATGAGGATTGCCTGAGAATGACTCGAATGGAGAAATACGGTATTGAAAGAATAAATACTTCTCTCAAGTAAATGGATATTTGGCAAAAATAATTTTTTTTCTCAGTGCAAAGGGGTGAGGTTTCTGGGGGGGTTTTGTGCGCTACGACAAACGGTCTTGTGATGGTCTTGCGTAGAATTATTTGGTTCCGAGTAGAGATGCAAATGCGTCACATGAACCGTCATATGATGAGGTGTTTATGTTGGCTGTCATAACTCTCATTTTAGATGAGACTTTATACGACCTTTTTGCACAATTTTTCAAGAATTTTCCTAGTTTTCTTTAAAAAGTAACACGGCACGGAGCTGCCGTGTATGAGGTGAATTTGAGAGGGAATTTCTGTGGTTCTCGGTAGCTTAGTCGGTAAGAGTGCCCGGCTTTTTATTTTTTTTTTCAAGCTTTTTCTTTTCTTTTTTTTTCAAGCGCATAAAAACGAAAACGAAAAAGCTCTACAACAGAACAAAGGTTTAAAACCTTATAATAATAATAAATCTATAAAAAAGCCCAATACAAAATTGAACACGAGTGTCACAGAGTGACCACATGTCATGTTTATCGAACACCAGATACTAATTTTCATTTTTTTATGTACCTATTTTTTTATGTAAATAGCTGTAAATATTGTAAATACCTACTGTAGAAAATGAATAAAAAACATGGTTAAAAAAAAAGTAAGGGTGCCCGGCGCGTATCTGGGAGGGTGGGTGAAGCAGAAATTTTTTCTCTCTAAATTCTAATTCCCTTAGAATTTTTTTTATTTTCAAGTACTACAAAGATTATGAGATCCTAGTCCTTGCTCGGCACCTGTTTCAAACATTCCTCCAAATAAAATAGTTTAAAGTGTTTTTTGTAGAAGCTTATTTCACTTATAAGTTTGATAGGTACCTTTGGGTGAATAAAAAGAGTTCATGACACAAGAAAGACGTGTCATGGAAAATAGTATATTTCGTTACGAGTGCGGAAAAGAGTTTTTATGTCACTAACCCGAAAACCGCGATCTAACCGAGCGAAGCGAGGTTAGAATCGCGGTTTATCGGGTCCAACGACATAAAACAGCATATATCACACGGCGATAAAAGCATTATCTGGCGAATGTGGCTTTATAATCCGAGCCGAAGGCCTAATGACATAATATACTATTTGGCTCGTGGGAGGTTTATAGCAGGAGCCAAAGGCGAGTGATATAATCCCACGAGCCAAAAAACACTTTTTCTGTACTGCTTCCCACGATTTCTCGTCTGGGAATTGGTATTACATACTTCCCAAACTCGAAAACTTGAAAATCACTACAGAAAAATATTGGTCCTGGGCTGTTGCGATGGGGTTTTTTTACTCGTGTGGTTGGCCAGTCCTCGCCTACGGCTCGGAGGCCAACGCCACACGAGTAAAAAACCCCATCGCAACAGGCCGGAAAAATACTATTCCCACGAGTATCGAACGATATTTTTCATCACAATGTGTGGAAAAGTGACGTTTTAAAAAGTTGCTTTTTCGCACAGCGTGATAAAAATTATATTTTTCAATGTTCACTAAAAAATTTAGTTGTTGTCCATTGAATTGTGCCAGACACAGGTGAATATTGGTGACGATTTCAAAATTTTTGAACTTATAGGTACCGAGAATTTTTCTTCATCTTCCAGGGGATGAAAAAAAAATTGAAAAATTTGGAGATATGGGGAATTATGTTAAATATAATGGCGATGAACAGGGCTGTATCGGAGAGAGTAAGGAAAATATTCCACCCCTGCACCCATTTAAGGTGTTTTGTCTCCGTGTACCCGTTCTTAAATTATCTATTCATTTTTATTTATATAAATTTCCAGATTCATATCGATGGGTGGAAAAAGGTGGCGGGAAGGAGTCAACTGCCTTTCAATCGTCCTGATTCTCCTGCTGGAGGACTCAGGAGTTTATGGCGTCGGTGAAATAGGTGAGTCTGATCTAAAAATTAATTATCAATAGAAATCAAATCCATTTTAATTCAGTTGAAGTCCTTCAAACCCTCAGAGTTTTACAAATACAAGGGACCAAAAAAAAAAGTTCACTTAATTTGTTCTCAATAGTTCGTTCTGCATGATAATTTTACACACAGAAAAACCTAATTTTCAATTACGTTTACGAAGTCGTCTTTTACACTTTCTGAGGAGTTTATGACGCTTGAAGTTGAAGCCTAAATTACGTTAAAAATCGCCGTAAATTACGGTTACATATAACGGGAATTTATGGTTTCATATTCGTAAATTACGATGATTTTTTTCCGTATTTTACGTTTACTTGTCCGCAATTAACGACCAAAAAGAAAAAAGTATGTTAAGCGATTCAATGTTCATATACGATATTTTTTTGCGTAAATTATGCATAAGTAAATCGTAAAACACGTTTTTGTCATTCCGGCCGTGAGGCAGCGCTTCACGGACGCTTCGCTCTGCTCCGCGTCCGTGAATCTCTGCCTACGGCCGTCATAACAAAAAATACTGTTCGTCATACGGTCAAAAAAAACTTTTCTAGCTCATATGATTGCAGCAAACTCATATTCGCCAGAAAAGTTTTTTTCGGCCTAGTGGCGAAATATACTATTCTATTAAGATCGTCATTTACGATGTCTCAATCCTCGATGACTCGCACGCGGCCGCCGGCCCTTATCCGTCGCACGGTTAGCGCAGCGCCGCTGGGTTAAACCGCGCGCCGTGTTGCCACCTTGGCGCTTAACGCTATGCGCGCATTTCACGTGTAGCAGTGAATATAGCAACACTGGCGCTCGAGCGGTCCACAGGGACTCACTCGCTCCAATATAATGGAAGCACGCTAAAATATAATGAAATGAATGAGGGTTAAGTCGATTTTAACTATTAGTCAGTTTTCAATGAATATCTTGGGATCTAAAGCAGATAGAAAAATTTTCATTATAACCTTTTCTGTAGAGCGAATTGAGTGCTACAAAAAATACCTTCACGAAAATTCCACTATCTCCCTTAGATTCGGAGATATTGCTCGAAAACTCTGCTAAGAGCTAAGTCGACTTAACTCGTTTGACTACTTCGCTACTGATACCGGCGTTAAGCATAAATTACATTTAGCACACCGTAAATTACGTGTTGGTTTCTCTGCGTGTAAAGAATCTCTATGAAGCAATACCAACATGAGACGGGGAAGAGTTTTTGTTCATGTACGTGACGCTGAGACTTGATATTTCATATATAACCCGAAATAATTCCCCAACAAACGGCAAAACCAACAACAAAAATCGTTACTCCTATCTATTGTTAGTCTCTGTTTGCGTTATTGTTATCATCAGCCTTTGCCATCTGTTAGTGCCCTCACGCCCTCTCCCATACACACTCAATCCTATCCCGTTGAGCTGCTCCATTGTCATGGATGTGTTTGAATGTACGTCAACGATTCTAGAAAGGACAGAAGTCCAGGGGGAGGAGCCGAGATGGTAAAAAGAAACGAGGGGTGAATGAGAAAGGGATTTGTTGTGCCTTCTCTGTTATATTATCGAGCCTCGACCCACGCGTTTCTCCGTCTCTCTGTTGATTCGGGGGATGAATCCATCCGGGGCAGAAAGGGTGGGGAGGTTTGTTACGTGATGCAGATTATGAGAATGACGTTGGGGGTATTTTTGGAGGGAAAGGGGAGAAAGCGCGAGGTTTTTGCATTTTTTTGTAATTAAGGATGATGCATATTGCGAGATGAATTAAAATTCTCTGTTTACTATCGGGTGCTATGAATGCAGGTGGCACTCATTACATAATTAATGAGGCCCGGGCTATTTTACTCGGTCAAGTCGTAGATATTGTCAACCCTCCAGTGGTCGCGCTATGGTCAAGTCAAGTCAAATAATGTTTATTAACATAAATACGAATATTTACAAACAATAACAAATGTTTACAGTTTTTATAGACAGTACTTTATGAAGTATAGCGACAGCCCAGGGGCTTTAACATATATTTTACATGGTGATTATGAGAGGGGGTAACAAATTGAAGGTTGCGGGTGAAGAGGACATTCGGGATAGGGAAAATAATTTTTAGAAAAAAACCCTATTTCAGAAAAAAACCCTATTTCGCGCTATGGTCTGAACGCCGCCGTTTTTGTTATTTTCACGATATCTCTAGAAATGTGATGAATTACGCTCTGCCTATTTACGAGTTCCTCAAATGATATGTCCTGATGAGATTAAACACGGTAGGGTTGCTCTGTACTGACAATTTTTTTCTCAATTAATTTTTTTGTCGAGCGCGATTAGCGAGAATGAGCGCAGCGCTCACCGTGCGACCACTCTCGCAGTGGAAATTTGACGAGCGGTGGTGCCGGCCCTCGCGGTAGTCCCGAGCAGGGTGTGCAGAGTGGGGGGTCGCTGGCCGGTGATATGCTTATAGTGTCGTATGGCTTTGGCAACGCTGCGCTCGAGAATGTACGGACGGCGCAGCGCTTGCCACGCGACCAACGACGTTCGGCGCAGACGTGCGACTGCGTTTATATGAATCTTTAGAATTGTGTTTTCTCCTGTAGTTATTATTTTTTATTCATTAAACTACTTCATTGACTCAACAATGTGATAATCGAGTCGATAAAGTAGTTTCATAGATATAAAGTAATAATTGTAGCAGAAATCACAATTCTAAAAATTCATATAGACACAGGGGTTCCGTTTCCCCTTAAGGTACAAATTACATGGAAAGCAGGATGCTATCTTCCGACATTGCGAACCTCTATACGAGGGAAACCATTAAATAATTAACAATGCACAAATTATAATATTCACTCATTTTGGAGGATAATTGCATGAATAATAGCGATTTTCGGTCGTTTTCAAGACTTGTCTCACTGAAAAAAATTATAACTGCCGAACTACGGCGAATGGCAAAATCTAATTGGCGCCAAAATTTTTTCCATTTTATTGACAATTTTTCAAAACAAAAAAATACAAAAACGAACAAAAACAAATTGACATTTTTTTGTGAAAATGTCAGATTAAAAAAAAAAATAGCTTTTTGGTAATTAAAGATTGAAAAAAAAAGTTTTCTTATATCAATCCCGTCAAACTGAGCTGAAGGGTTTTTCATGTTCTTTGAGTGTGCTAAAGGGCGATTTAATAGCTTGAAACTCCGCAGAAAAATCGAGGCCAATTTGGAAAAAAAATTTGTTGGACAAAAACTAGCTATTTCCAAAAAATCGTAACTCCCTCAATTACCAATACTGTGGTGACTCGGTAAATTAAGATAAGTGCATTTTTGTCGAAAAAGCGCCTTTGTTATGAAATCGCTTCCCAACAATTTGGGAAAGCAATTTGGAAAAAAAAAATTCGAAAAAAACTATACTTGTCTTAGTTTCCCAATTCACAACACAATATTTTTACAAAAATTCCAAGAGAATTAGAATTTAGAGAGAATCCTGCAGCGCCCAGCGGGGATTCTTTTCTCCTTAAAGTGAATTTATTTCAGACACGCAGTATTACATTTAACTGCAGACATAAATAACTTCGGAAGAAAAGCATTACGGTATTCCTGAAATTTGGTGACAATTACCAACATTTCTGCACTGAGAGAAATTTCAATGATAATTTCAATTACAAGGGAATTGTCAAAAAAATAATAGTTATGGTAATAATAAACATTGTAGATTCAACTATTACACGGAGAGAAATATTCAATAAAAATTACGTATCTTTTCCGTAATTCCGGAGCGAAATGTGGTTGTAGGAAATTTTACGGAACTGTCACGGAATTTTTTCAGAGCGTTCCGTAATTTTTATCTGAATCTCCTGTGAAAAATTACGATACCGTCACTTAATTTTTCTGAGTGGATTCCGTAATCGGTGAGCGAATTCTGAGTTCCGTAATTTTTACTGAACATTTCTCTCCGTGTACACCAAAGTGAAAATTACATCATAATGTGGATGACACTATTTGACATAGTAAATCGAACGATGAATCCCAGTTTAATCTACAAAGTTTATTGTTACTGTAAATATAATTTCTTTGACAATTCCCTTGTAGTTAAAATTACCATTGAATTTTTCTCAGTGTGTTAATAATAGGGTGTACATTAAATTAACCACATCAGTCTGCTACATTTTAGTAGACAGTAAGGCCTCAATTGGCGATAAAAAACTACCAACTCCATCTTAGAATGATACCACTAAATTAATAACTACCATCAAGCTAACATCACGCTGTATTAAATTTCTAATAACAATTTCTCATTGAAAATTTGATACACCTTGATTTAGTATTATTGCTATACAAGGGCCGAAAATTGGGCATATCAACCCGCGTGTGTGTTTGCCACCCGAGCGAAGCGAGCGGCGTGTGTGTGAGCTCGCTTCGCTCGGGTGGCAATCACGCGGGATGACGTGGCCAACTTTTATCTTTACTTTCATTGCGAGGTACATTCGATCTGGAGCGACCTGAAGAAATGTCTTTACATGATTCCACAGAAAAATCTTGGATTTTTTTAGTTTATACCCTCTGGATTGTTTCTTCATGAATGCTTTGAGTTTGTCGAATGCTTTGAGGTTAATATTGTGAAAAAGAATCATGACATTTCTCAGCATTGACCATTCCCCCCACAGAGTTGAAGGCTTCAGTCTTTTTGATTGTTCATCAAAATATACAAAAAAGACATTCTCTGTAAATTCTGTAATCTGATTTTTTCTCGCCCATTCAATGAATTTGTCATAACAAAGTTTGTATCTTTTGCATGACTTTGTGGGCAGTAGATTCTTTCGGATATTTTGGGCTTCTCCATCGATATTTCTTGCTGGTTCTGTCTCACAGTCACTTTCACTATCGTAGGAATCGTCAGATGATGCCATTTTTATAAGTGGGCCAGAGATAAATTGGATGAAATGAATTTAAACGATTTTATTATAGATTGACGCTGGAATGTGCTCGCTCACAAGTTCTGGCGAGATAGAATAGTGTTCCCGGAATTGCAAACTCATGTGGAGGATTATATAAACCTCACGTTTCCATCGACTACTCCGATCAAGGCTATTGCAATGTTCATTTGAATCACTGAATTAACCAGTGCTCCAAGATTTTTTATTTGAATTTCCATGTGTTACTGACGAAAACTGTGTTATTGGCAAAACTAAATAATAATAGAAAATAATAAACTGAATAATTTCGAGGAGACAATTTTCTTTTTTGAGAAAAACAAATTATTTTTTCGTCAATGTATTCTTTCTATGGTTTAAATTTATGGAGTTCTCTCAGATCAAATGATTCTCGTACAATATATTGTATTTTGTCCTGTCAACAGTTGGACTTCTTCTAGGAATATTTGTGATGATCATGACAAAAATTTCATTTTTGTCAAAAATGTAAAATTTTCTTCTATCGAGTTGGTTAATTTCCATCAAGTAAATCTGTTCTACTCCACCAAATATTCTCACTTGGAACATATACTTTTCATCACGCTGTGACGAAAAGTGAACTTTTCGGCACGCTCCGCGTGCCTAAAAGTCCAATTTCCGCCACATTGTGATGAAAAATATTGTTCGTAACTCGTGAAAAAATGTTTTTTAGCTCGTGGGATTATATCACTCGCCTTCGGCTCGTGATATAAACCTCCCACTCGCCAAAAAACACTTTTTTGCACTCGTTACGAAATATACTATTTTGATAAAGCTAATTTTTTCTCTCACTGTAACACCAAAAATCCGGAACTTGAATTTGAACGATTGCAAACCTTCCATTTGGAAGTAAAAATATCTCATTTGAACTTCCGGCTTTTTCTCAAAAAAAATCCACCCCCAAAATAGCGATTCAACTATCTCACTTTCCATGTAATTGATCGCATGAAAACCTACAGAAATAAAAGAACCAAATGATGACGTCCGAATTTGTTATCAAATCGACCGAAGTGCGATCGAATACGTGCAGAAATAACTGTTCGTTGGCCTCTTATGACTCACAATAAGCGGTTAATAATGTCACGTGTTGCTGTGGATCTTCTACATATACAATAATGTAAATCAGTCCAGAAATAAATTAATTCATACTCGCCGTCTTATGTTCCAGGATGTCTATTCGACAAGACACTGTGTCGAACACTGGATGAGACATGCTACGATGGTAAGTAATTGATGAGCTAACAATCGATCATTCCCCTCCAAGAATCCAAAAATGAATCCATTGTGAACAATTGTGTAACCCATTGTGTGTGTTGGAATACCATTCCAACCATTGCAACCTGAACTATTAAAAAGAACTGATGCAAAACTTTCGATGAAAAATTTTGGCAGACAACCCTTTTTTCTCAAAACTTCCGAAGCTTCAGTCCAAAAACTTTTTGACGCCAAGCTGCCTTAATTTTCCACTGCATCTCCAACTTTCCGTCAACAACATGTTTTCAGGAAAAATTACCGTAATTTTTCAACATCACCATCTTCACCCCCCCCCCTTTAAAAGCACCTCTACTATAAAACAAAAAATCGATCAACCCACACCACCCCCGATCCGCCCACCCGTGCACCGACTCACCTCTAAAACTCCTCGTCAGATGCAGCCTTCGGTAGGTGTATCCAACCCTACTCCCTCCTGGACTCGTCGACCGCCTACCGCTACGATCTGGACCCCTCGGAGCTCGAGCTCCTGCGCTCAGTCCTGGAGAAACTGGTTGCCGAGAACTACCAATGGTCACACCCCTACACCCAGTGCGTCATCACATCCACCTTGAACAGCATTCGCTACGAGACCCCCTCCGATGATTTCACCTGCGATGACCTTGGGTACCTCCCCCCTCCCCCCAACCCCGACATGCGTCAAATCGGCTTAGACCCCGACGACAATGGAATATCTCCACTGGCGGTCGTCAAATTCATGCCAACACGGGGTCACGGTTACGGCGACTTTGCCAATGAGCTCTATTACCCCCCTCCCCTACCTCTGGCCGCCGAAACAACTCAAGTCAATGTTGATAATGACATCACCGACCAGCGGACCAAAATTCACCGTATGGATCGTCACCCAACCCTTAGATTAGGGGAAGAAGGGCGGACCAATTTTCCTGATGATTCGGACGAATCGGAGGAAGCTTACAGATACGACGAAGAGTTGTATGAGCTTTCGCAGCGGCTGCAGGAGCAGGTGAGGGCCCTGAGGGCTGCAGAAGAGACGAAGATGCTGAGATCAAGACGACACAGCCAGAGGGAAGCACTGACTTTCATCGATGAGCCGTATGACGACGAGTATCCTGAGTCTTTTGGCCGCAGCGACAATATCTTTCGTCCGAAGGTCGTCAATACTACGTTTTTCGATGCCGACGGGACTGACCTTGAGGATTTCATGAAGTACTTTGAGGCTAATGCAGGGCTGAGGGGCGGAGGGCGAGAGGAGAAGACTGATGAGGACGACGAGGATGACTCAACTGAGCTTGATTTGGGCGATTACAGCGAAATTCCTTACTGGCAGATTGCTGTGGACTTGCCCGGGTTCAAGAGACCCGAGAGACTTGATGTGAAGAAGCCGGGGCCGTTCTATTCGACGAATAATTATGCCTTCAAGATGCAGACGATTGCACCGGACGACGAGGAGGAAGAGGTCGAGGGGGTCAGGAGGAATTTCGTCAAGAAGGAGTTCGTTGCTGGGGGGGATATCACCAAGATTAAGGATGTTGATGTAGATCGTGTGGATGTGGACCATGTGTTCATCAAGTTTGATAAGGAGATTCGGCATTGGATTGATGGAGAGATCATTACTAAATCGGTGAGTGAACTTATTAGAATTTTATCTGAAGGCAAAAGATGTTTGACCTGTGCCTGACATTCATGAAGGGGATTGCGCGAGAATATCATTTCTCTTCTGACCCGAATGAGGGTTGTATAAGGGTCAAATGGAAGAGAAATTATCGACCCTCATGAGGGTAAAATTCAATCATTATCACTTCCTATTGCTAGTAGTCAATGGTTTCAGGCAAAACCTTCGAGTGGAAAATATCCCGGTTGCGTCAGACAATTCCCCCACAAATTCCGTAATATAACAAAGTAATCATCTCTCGCACTAATTACGGAAGTTATTTGACCTATAAGCACCGATCATCGCTTTCCTTCGTATTTGACCCGTTTCAGATATTTATGAGGTTGATGTTACGAGGATATCATTTCCCTTTTGCTTGACATTCATCTGACCCTCATGACGGTCGTATAAGGGTCAAACGGAAGAGAAATTATTGACCCTCATAATCTTGTCTTCATGAGGGTTGTATAAGGGTCAAACGGAATAGGAATTATTGACCCTCAGGGCATGAAATCATAAGGGTTAAATTGTAGTCCGAGGGTCGTGTAAGGGTCATGAGGGTCGCATAAGGGTCAAANGAAATTATCGACCCTCATGAGGGTAAAATTCAATCATTATCACTTCCTATTGCTAGTAGTCAATGGTTTCAGGCAAAACCT